ACAGGGCTGCCATGACACAGTGTTAACTGTGGGGGGAGTCAAAGAGCTTGGAAATATAGGCATATTCCAGAGGGCCCATTAAAAACAGATACTTTGCACTCCTATCGTGCCTCTCAAAGGATCTCAAAGTGCTTTGCAAACAAGGAATTAAAGCTTTCAGTGCCCCTGGAAGGTAGGGAAGTATCATCAACCCCCATGTATAGAGGGGGATATAGGCACAGAGATCTGCACAAGACGATGCAATGACACAGCATCAGGCTGGCAAATAGAACTGGGGAATCCCAATTCTCAGGTCCCTACCTTAGCCATTAGGCAGCACTCCCTCTCTCTACAGTGCAACTCAGTGGTCAGTCAAGCTTGAAAGTAGAAGCCCATTCACCAAACACTTGTGAGATGATCGAGAAGGCAGTTTTGACTTGAAAATACAAAACAAAAGGGCAGAAGTCTGTAATAATCCATTTCCTTTCCTAAAAGAATTTAAAACAGTTCTGCCAGGGGAATTCCCATCTGTCAGCAGAAGACTGCTCTATGGAATGACATTTTAAAATCAGACACAAACATGCCCGAAGTTCCAGGGCCTGATCTAACTGCCGTTCAAGTCAATGGGACCTTTGAAGTTGACCAAGGTGAAAGGACTGAGACAGGATATACATGTAAGTCCTGTGGCTCGAAGCTCTAGAGAGTAAGGAGCTCTCTGTCCCCATCTATTGGGGAACAGGAGAAGAATCGCCACAGAACTGCTTCACATACATAAGGTTTGTGTCCAGAATTCCTGCAGTGACATTCTGGGAGTCACCATAACTCCAAAAAGAACGAGGAGTACTTGCGGCACCTTAGAGACTAACAAATTTATTAAATTAAATTATATAAATTTGTTAGTCTCTAAGGTGCCACAAGTACTCCTCATTCTTTTTGCTGACACAGACTAACCCGGCTACCACTCTGAAACATAACTCCAAATTAACTCAGAACTGGTTGGGTGGTGGAAGTGAAGCAGGAGAAGAAAAGGGCTCCTATCTGATGGCAAGCATTCTGTTCAAGGGTTGTGTTCTAGTTGTTGGCAAAGTAGGTTTTTCTGGGTGAGGCTCATCTGTTGCACACCAGCTGTGCTGACCCTTGCAATTTCCCCAAATACAGGAAACGTAACTGCATAATTTGTGGTAATGGGGGAACGTGTTCAGACTTTGCCCTGGTTTGGGGAGCGGTGTGGTCTAGGGGGTAGAACCCTAGACTGGGATTCAGGCGCCCTGGTTTTATTCCCAGTTTGGCGACTCTCCAGCTCAGTGACCTTGAGGAAGTCACTTACTTTCCCAGTGCCTCAGTTTCCTGTAAAATGGGGATAATGATGCTTACTGTGACCCGGGATGCCTAGGGTAGCTCTCACTGGAAATGCAAAAGTCAGGGCAGGCTAGAAAGAGGAAAGCAGACTCTCCCAAACTGGAGATTAACACTGTAGTTAGATTCACCAACCAGTCACAAACTGTGCTCCTGATCTCCCACACTGGTTATCAAAAGCTGAAAAAAGGAATCACAGAGCCCCCTTTATTGCATTCCAGTTCTCTGGCTCCCAATCAGTACATGGGTTCAATAAAGTGAGAAGCTATTTACAACTCTGCTCACTACGTATTCTTCTAACCCCAAAGGGTCAGCCATGTTACCAGGTCAATATTAGTTTGGCTCTTACACAAAAATACCATGCTACCAACCAGTCGTTTATTATCTAAAACTAAAGGTTTTGAAAAGAAAAAAAGAAAAAGAAAAGGACGAGAGTTGTGAACTGATCAAAGCAGTCAGATACATACATAAGACTTCAGAATCCATATATCAGGTTCTTAGCAGCATTGGTGAGTTTCCTGGCTTGGAAGTCCCTCTGGAACACATCCACAGCTTGGATGGGTCATTCAGTCCTTTGTTCAGTGCTTCCGTTTGTAGACAAGTTGCTCCAGAGGTAGGAAGCAGGATTGACGACAAAATGGAGAAGATGCAGCTGCCTTTTTATATCCTTTGTCATGTGGCTGGTACTGCCTTTGTCCTAAATAAAAACTCAGAGCACATGGACATGGAAAAGCAGACTCCTCTGTCCACAGGCATGTCCCTACATGTCCTGTTGACTCATTGGTATCACCCCCGCCTTTTCTCAATGGGTTCATTGTATAGCTCATTGCTTTTGATAGGCCATCAGGCAAGCTGGATAGTGCTGATGCCAATCTGTCTGGGGGTGCCACCCAGAAACACAGGACAAGTTTGATATACAGGTATACCACACATTTATAACTCACAATACAAAGATGATACATACATATAAATGTGATGACCATATTTAGCTAATTATAACTTTTTCCCACGAATACTGTACATGGCAGATCTGGCAAGATTTATTGCCATTTTAGAATATTGGTTTCAATATCATAAAAAGTCTCACACATTCCATACAGTGTCACCTCTTGTGAAACACACTGACATTTGCTGAAGAAAAGCACTGTGTAAAAGATAGGTGCTGTTACTGAGGACCCTGTGCGATTGGGAGGATGCTTTGATGGGGATGCAGAGATAATTTCTTAAAAGGATGCAACCCAGACGGTTGTTTGCTGCAGCAGCACACCTGAGTGAACTCCGGTGAGGCCCCTCTTGAAATCACGATAGCTGGGTTAGGTGGTGAAGCCTCAGAACAGGACCAGGCAGTGTTTTGAAGGGACTGGGGCCAGCTCTGCCTGAGTGCACCTCAGGACTCTGGGATTTTGCTACCCAATTACACCAAACCATGAGTGGGGGTTAGTAGGTGGGGAAGGGGAAAGTGATGTGATAGAGGGATATCTGGCAGCTGGAGAACTGAGTTAATGGACTATGGCCAAAGTTACTGCAGGGGAGTGTTTTGTTTATCATTCATACAGATGGCATTGTGGCATCTGCCCAAATTGATGCTGGGTTCTTTTCTCCTAATAGTTTTCCTTGTTTCATACAGACAGTGCTTGCAAGCGGGGAAGCACTGTCCATTCCTGGCATCCAAGGAAGGTACTTAGTGACCCCAGAAATGCTGGGTAGGCGCTCACACTGACAAAAGGGTTACATGTAGTAGAACTAGTTTAACACCAGTCCCTTTTGCTTTATCCATAATGGATACAGTGGGGTTGATAGGATGGAAGGTATGACTCAAGGCCTTGCACCCGAGTCAAAATTAGTCTGTTTTATTTAAAGAACAAGTTTTCAGTCCTCCCATTCCTCCCTCCCCTCCCCCAATGCTGTAGTCATGAAATCTTTGGTTGCATTTCTTAATCTTGGATTATCCTATGCCTCTGCACTTCAGATTACTGCTCAGAGCCCAAGGAGATGGCTTAATGGCCTGAGCCTTAGAATGAAATGCCTCTGGGTAGACTCCCTGGAACGACGGCTTTGAGTCTGGGCAGGGTCAACTCAGCCTTTCATCTTCCTCACAGCAAAGTTCTGTGCAGTTTAGCAAGTGTTGGGTCTCTCAAAGGAGACCTTAAAAAACATGTTCCTATCTGCTCATGCCCTCTACTATCATAGAATGCTGATCAGACCATTATACAGTAATATCAAAGTGACCTAGCACTCGTGAGGAGCCAAGTAGGGTGGAATAGAAGGGACACATTGCTACATACCTGGGAGGAAGGATGTTTTTGTGGCTGAAGCATTGGACTGGAAGTCAGGATACGTGACTTCTATTCCCAGTTCCGACACCACCCTGGCTCTCTGTTTCCTCATATACAGAATAGGGATAATTCATATTTATATTAAAGTAGTGCCTGGATCAGTTAGGATCAGGGTCGCATTGTGCCAGGTGCTGTACAAACACATATGGTTCTTGTCCTGAAGGATTTAATACCCTCCCTACTTGGTGTTGTGTGTTTGCTTAATTTAATTTGTGCTTACAAAAGCCTTTGAGATTCTCAAATGGAGCCTGTTGTTAAAATGTAACTTACTAACTAGCACTGCCCAGTGCTTGAAGGAGGCAAATAGAGTTTGAATCAGAAAAGCAATTCGTCCTGCACATGTCATGCCGTCCCCCTTTTTATTTCCTTTCTTGGAGGGTGGTGAGGGCAAATTAAATACAAAAAACCGAAGTTAATATAGAAGAGTCAAGAAGCTGGCGTTCCAATGGTTAACTCAGACGCAGTGCACCGATGTAGCATTTTCCTTTCTATTCCTGTTATCCTAACTGAGGCCATGAGCCTGCAATCAGATCCACTCTAGCGGCCCCACTGAGGCTCCAGGAGTGGTGGGGTCCATTGGCAGGATTTAAGTTAGTGTTACCAAGTCTGCTTCTACCATAACACACACAGGATGTGCCATGGAGCTGGGTAAATGTTTCTGTAGAAACTGTAACATTGGAATTTACTTACTTCAGAATGCTTATTTCCTTGGCCCTACTGTTGCATGAATGTCCATGTCAAGGTTCCTCCCCCACTCTGAACTCTAGGGTACAGATGTGGGGACCTGCATGAAAAACCTCCTAAGCTTATCTTTACCAGCTTAGGTCAAAACTTCCCCAAGGTACAAAATATTCCACCCGTTGTCCTTGGACTGGCCGCTACCACCACCAAACTAATACTGGTTACTGGGGAAGAGCTGTTTGGATGCGTCTTTCCCCCCAAAATACTTCCCAAAACCTTGCACCCCACTTCCTGGACAAGGTTTGGTAAAAAGCCTCACCAATTTGCCTAGGTGACTACAGACCCAGACCCTTGGATCTTAAGAACAATGAACAATCCTCCCAACACTTGCACCCCCCCTTTCCTGGGAAATGCTGGATAAAAAGCCTCACCAATTTGCATAGGTGACCACAGACCCAAACCCTTGGATCTGAGAACAATGAAAAAGCATTCAGTTTTCTTACAAGAAGACTTTTAATAAAAATAGAAGTAAATAGAAATAAAGAAATCCCCCCTGTAAAATCAGGATGGTAGATATCTTACAGGGTAATTAGATTCAAAAACATAGAGAACCCCTCTAGGCAAAACCTTAAGTTACAAAAAAGATACACAGACAGAAATAGTTATTCTATTCAGCACAGTTCTTTTCTCAGCCATTTAAAGAAATCATAATCTAACACATACCTAGCTAGATTACTTACTAAAAGTTCTAAGACTCCATTCCTGGTCTATCCCCGGCAGAAACCAGCATATAGACAGACTCACAGACCCTTTGTTTCTCTCCCTCCTCCCAGCTTTTGAAAGTATCTTGTCTCCTCATTGGTCATTTTGGTCAGGTGCCAGTGAGGTTACCTTTAGCTTCTTAACCCTTTACAGGTGAGAGGAGCTTTCCCCTGACCAGGAGGGATTTCAAAGGGGTTTACCCTTCCCTTTATATTTATGACAGTCCATTTTAACCATTTCCAGAATAACAGGTTGTAAAGGGCACCATGGGTCCTGCAGACCGTGTCCTAGAACAGAGCAAGATATTATTTATCTGGGAACTCCCACAGCAGCTGATGAGAGATAGTCACATGCTTGAAAAGCAAATGTGGTCTTCTGGTTTGTGTCTAATGTTTTTTTCTGCATGTGTTTTTTGTGTGCCTGGCTGACCAGTGAATACTCCCAGGACAGAATCAGTGCTAATGTGACACCTGTTAATCACTAAAATCTCATCAACTCCTGGTTTCTTTACTGCTAATCTATCACAGTTCAACAGGCTGCCTGAGCAAAAATGTCACTTCAATTACGGTTGTTTCGCTTCACCCGGCTCATACACTAATAGAGTTTGGCAGGATTAATTAATTTTGCTCTACAATTAAAGGAGATCTAAGACAAACCTTAACTCTTCGTTCACCAAACCGCATCCAATCAATCACACAAGGCTGCTTGCTGCTGGAGTTTAACAGTTGTGAGGAGTGTTTTGTTGGGCTGTCCAACAGATCAGATCCCCCTAAGAGAGCTCGACAGTCCTTTCTGGAGACAGGGCTCTTTGAAGATGTATTTAAAAGGACACAGTCTAGATAGAATGAGATTAAAAATAATATGGCTTTGTCTCAGCTACAGTCAGTGTAAATTGCCAGTCCCGGAGCATACTATTCAATCACGGGTATGGGGACTGTGATGTATTGGAACAGGTCCCTTTCCATCACTAATGTCTACTTCCTAATTCTTTTAGATGTTTATGGAAGTGTCTCATATTCTGTGATAGCTCCTGCAAAAGGAGACTGGAAAAGTAAATCTTTCCCATGTCGTCCCATTAAGGGGTTGGACTGGCTTGCTGTAGATCCCACCCCCAAATGGGACAGACCCTCTCTTTAAAAGCAATAGTGAACCCCCCAAACTCATTGCACATGGCCTAAGAAGGGAAAAGGCTCTATACCTCATGAAGCGGCCAGTCCTCCACTTGTTTCTCTTGTTTAAAGAACAGATGGCATGTGAATGACAAAACACAAAGCTCTAACAGAAGGTTAGGAACTATTAGGAAAGGGATAGATAACAGTAAATATCACAATGCCACTATAGGAGTCTGTGGTGTCCCCAGACCTTGAATACTGCGTCCAGTTCTGGTTGCCCCATCTCAAAAAGGATATGGTGGAGTGGAAAATGTTTAGAGAATGGCAACAAAGATGATCAAGGGTATAGAACAGCTTCCGTACGAGGAGAGATTTAAAAGACTGGGACTGTCCAGATTAGAAAAGTGGCTACTAAGGGGCAGTTGATAGAGGTCTATAAAATCATGACAGATATGTGTGTGTGGGGGGGTGGGGAGGTGGGGGGAGGGGGGAAGGAAGTGTGTTATTTACCCTTTCCCACAATATAAAACCCAGAAGCCACGCAATGAAATTAATAGGCAGCAGGTTTAATACAAACAAGATGAAGTACTTTTTCCACACAATGCACAATTAACCTGTGCAACTTGTTGCCATGGGATGTTGCAATGGCCAAAAGTATAACAGGGTTCAAGAAAATAACTAAGTACGTTCATGGAGGAGAGAGCCATCAGTGACCATTTGCCAAGACCATCAGCACTGCAACCCTATGCTTGGGGCCGCCCTGAACCTCTGATTGCCAGAAACTGGGTGAGGAAGACTGGGTAGCATAGGCGCTGACTCCATGTGTGCTCCAGGGTTTAGGCACCCATGGAAAAAAAAAACAATGGGTGCTCAGCACCCACCAGCCACAGCTGTTTGGCAGGGATGCCGATCAGCTGTTTCGTGGCTGGCAGGAGACGCTCAGGGGAGGGTGGAGAGCAGCAAGTTGGGAGTGGGCAAGGGCCTTGGGGGAGGAGCACCCACAGGGAAAAACAGAAGTGCCTGGGCTGGGTAGATCACTCTAACTGCCCTGTTCTGTACACACACACACACCCCTGAAGCTCTGGTACTGACCACTGACAGAGACAGGCTACTGGCTAGATGGACCATTGGTGTGATCCAGCATGGCAGTTCTTAGGTTCTCTTTCATCACCCTTATTCACAAATGAAGAAGTTATGAAAGCAAGAGCAGTGTGACATGAGAGCTACATTTTCAGACACTTTCAAAAGAAATAAGAAGCCAAGTTATTTTTGTCTAATCCCATTTTCTATAAACCAGATGGATGTTTTATGTATTTTGGCTGAACGAGCTCTGACTGCAATGTTTCTAAAGACCAGATTTGAGGATTCTGAAAGCACTGGAAGAATTTTTAAAAATTATGCCAGGGCTCGTTATTTCTGATAGCTTCCAGGTGGGATCTCTGTCTGGATTATTTTGCAATTCAGGGCCTTAAGGGATTTTTAAGCACTCTTTTGAAAAGACAGAAGCTGATTGCAGTACAAGTGTGCCAATGCGATTAGGAGAGAGAGCAAATAATATAATTGTGTCAAACAAAATAGCTTAAAAAGCCTACCAGAGAGAAAACAAAGAATGCTTTTTGTATTCCAAGACAAAACACTTCAAAATAGTTAAGATTCTAAGCACCAAATAGCTAAGAATTTACTCTGAAGAGTGATTCTCCCCAAAAAATAAAATAGCACAGTGGGGTTCCATATTCATTTTTCTCTGATTCCAGCTCAAATTTACTCAGATTACATGCAAAGATTTTTTTCTAGCTGCCACCCACCTCTCTTACATTTGAAAGTCAAACTGGATTATTTCTGGGTCATAATCCTTCTCCAGGAATAAAGCCATTTAGGCTTAATTTCTGTGCTCAGTAACACCTGTGTAACCCCCAGTATTACTAACCCCAAGCATTAGGAAAATCAAGAGTCAGGCAGCCAAAAACCATGAGATTGGCTTAAAAATCAGGGGATTAAAAAAAAAAGTGTTGTGGTTTTTCTGTGTTCTGGTTTTTAGAGCTTTTACTGGACACTTGGGTCTCATTTTTCATCTTCTTTGCAACCATAAGGGCTAAATATTTTTTAAATTTTAATGAAAGCTGAGATTCTCAGGTAAGTACATGGCTTCAGGAGCTGTGGCTATAAGAAAAACACCAACTATTGCAACCCACGCAATAAAATAACAGCTTACAACACTAAACCCCTTTGTCCTTATTGAGGTTACTCAGGTGTAATTGTAGATAGAATTTAGGCCTGAAATCAGAACGTACTGAATAATACTGTTGTTGCGTGAGACGGGATAGAATCCAGCTCACTCTTCTGTAGCTGCCTTGGCTCAGGAGAGCTGACAAGTCAAAAGTATCAAATGGTTACTTTTTACAGGTATGCCAATAGACAGGACTCTGAAAGTCAGCTGTTGAGAAAGGTGGCACCATTTTTACATAGTCACTTTTCTGATCAAAGCCGTACTTTGAAGGGAAAAAACTCTTAATATAGAACATTGCCAAATGGGCTGACATTTTCTTCCCAACATACTATGACACGATGGCCTATTTTTGTGTTTTTTGAAGAGAGCATTCTAAAAACCACAATCTTAGACCATTATGATCTTTTCACCTTTTCTAGGTCTGGCTCTATCCAGCTGTCCAGGCTCCCAAGCTCACAAATGTACAGGCCAACCAATTAACTTCACTGAAACACTTATGTCAACAGATATGTGGGGATGCTTTTAAATGCGCCAGATGGTTTTAGGAAAAATGATGAACGAGATTCAATAACTGGGGAGTGTGAAGGAAAGGCCCTGGCAGAAAGTGCAAACTGCAAAGTGAAACTGTGGGAGGGGAGATACCAGCTTCTCTTTGATGAGTTGAACATGAAGATTGCATTCCATAATGGAGGGGTGTAGGCCAGTGTTTGAGAATAAAAACATTACTGTTGGGGCAGGCTTTGATAGTGGGATGTGGGTATATGGAACAGCTGGCACATATGCACAGACACAAACTGCATTAAGATCAGCCTTAACCACAAATCAAATACTATAATAGAAGACAAACAGAAAAGTAACAAGCAACAGACTAGAATGGTTACTTACTCTACAGTAACTGTGGTTCTTCCAGATATGCTGGCTACACAGATTCTACTCAATGTGCACATGCCCCATGCACACAAGATCAGAGTCTTTTGAGCAGAAGTGTCCATTGGGGCTGTGCCTACACCCGAAGTGCCCGGCTCCCTTTCCCCCTTCACCTGAAGGCATAAAGGGTGTAGTGAGCCCAACAGTGTCTCAGTTCCATTGGCAGTACAGATTTCCCTAGGAGTAGGACTCTGCAGTAGTGGGGAAGGAGGATGGGACATGAAATTTGTGTGGACAACACATCTTGAAGAACCACAGTTAGCTACTGCAGGGTTAGTAACTATTCTTTCTTCTGCGAGTGCTTGTCCACACAGATTGGGGACTAACAAGCAGTTATCTAGTTGTTTGGAGGTGGGTAACAGGAGTCCTACTTAAATAATCATAGCAGGACAAATCTGCTCCCAATCTGCAAGCCTCTAGTAAGGACTAGTGTCTTGTAAATATGCTGATCAAACTCCACTTAGCAACTCTACACATTTCAGCTGTAGGGATATTCCCCAACCATTCAGCAAAGGCTGCTTGAGTTCTCGTGGACTGAGCTCTAATATGGTTAGGTGTCTCTACGCTGGCTAACTCATAACATGTCCTTTTACAGCTGAAGATCCACTTGGATAACCTCTATGACCCTTAACTCTATCAGAAAAGGTTACATGTAGTCTTTCAGGTTAAAGAGCCATGAATCAGTCCTGAGGATCTAAGACTTGAGTCGTCTTCCTGAATTTGAAACGGTGGATGAAGGGGTTGAGACATGGAAGGTCCAGGGTAGGCCACCAACTCTTTCTTCTTTGGGATCAGAAAATGGGAATAAAGCCTCCTGTTCCTGAACTGTACGGGTACCTCCTCCACTGCTCCAAGTTGTAATGAACTCTTGTGAGAAGGGTCCCTGAAAAGGGAGCGGGAAAGGATTGAAACAGAATGAGATACCTAGGGTTTCCAATCTCCAGGACCTGCTGGACCTTAGTAATCTCAGCCCAAGCAACTTGAAAATTAAAAAAAGCAGTTGTCAAAGGCAGCTGTCAAAGGGGAGTATAGAATAAAAAAAAGATCCTTTGGACTGATAGGACATTGGAATCAAACAGGCTGCCTGGTGGAAGCCCCAGGAGGCAGAAGGCTGTGTCAGGTGGTATCTCTCTTCCTCAGTGGCTCTGAGGTCCTCCGTGGCTGACTGTAAAATTGGATAAAGTGCCGTCTAAAGGATGATTGTTGGTATGGCTGCTTCCTCCTTGGTGTCAAGACAGAATATCAGAGACTGCAGTCATCCTCAAGTATTTTAGAGTGTGGAAGGTTTCATTTGATCTGTTGCTGAACAGTTCACTGCCCTCAAACAGGAGGTCCATGATTGTTTCCTGGACCTCATGGGTATTCTGGAGGACTGAAACCATGACAATCTTCCTCATCACTGTTTGCAGTGGCCACTGTGCTCAGCACAGCCTACAGAGAAGTACAGGCAGTCAGTTGTCCCTCTGAGATGATCTATTTCAAATCTGGGTGCTCTTAGGAATCACATTTTGAGAGAAGGGCATCATAGTCAGCCACCCCCCTTTGGAGGCTCGCTGATGAATATAACCTTGCAGATGAAGAGGTCCAATTTTGGGGGTCCTTTTCTCTCTTGAGAAGTCCCTGCTGCTTTGATCTCTCTGGTACTGCTGCCACTACAAGAGGCAGGTGTAGGATGGAATTAGGCCAGGTCTACACTACAGACCTGTATCAGTATAATTATGTCACTTAGGGGTGTGAAATATCCACACCTGTGTAGACATCGCTATGTCAATGGGAGAGCTTCTGCTGTTGACATAATCCACCTCCCCAAGAGGCAGTAGATAACTATGCCAATGGCTGTTGGCATAGTAGTGTCTTCCTAAAGCGCAACAGTGGCTGTACATGAAGACAAGCCCTTAGAAATATTTATATCTTTAGCAGGGATCTGGTACCACCTGTCAGCTCTTTTTGACCTTGCAGGATGGATGCAGGGGTATGACAAGTAGTTCTTGTGGGCTCCACGAGATCTTTAAAGGGCATGGTCCCTGGTGATGAAAGATGGAAAAAGTCCAATCATTTGTGCTGCTTCTCTTGAACTACTTCCAGGGGTATGTCTAAGGTTTCTGCTATGTGTTTCATCAGGTACCAGAATACCTTAAACTCACCAATTGAGGCCAATATGGGTGGATTCACAGCCTTGTCAGGGGCAGAACAGAAGATGCAGCAGGGATTGGATGCTCCTCTCCTGGTAGCTGATGTTCTTCCTCACTCTCCTCCTCCTGCATCAAGTAGCTGTGGATGAAGAGGAGGTTACTTAACTGTAAAACTGGAGATTCTTGGAGATGTGTGGTCCTTATCTGTATTCCACTGAGGGTTTACACATGCGTCCAGAGCCAGAGATTTTTCAAGTAGAATCATAGAATCATAGAATATAAGGGTTGGAAGGGACCCCAGAAGGTCATCTAGTCCAACCCCCTGCTCGAAGCAGGACCAATTCCCAGTTAAATCATCCCAGTCAGGGCTTTGTCAAGCCTGACCTTAAAAACCTCTAAGGAAGGAGATTCTACCACCTCCCTAGGTAACGCATTCCAGTGTTTCACCACCCTCTTAGTGAAAAAGTTTTTCCTAATATCCAATCTAAACCTCCCCCACTGCAACTTGAGACCATTACTCCTCGTTCTGTCATCTGATACCATTGAGAACAGTCTAGAGCCATCCTCTTTGGAACCCCCTTTCAGGTAGTTGAAAGCAGCTATCAAATCCCCCCTCATTCTTCTCTTCTGCAGGCTAAACAATCCCAGCTCCCTCAGCCTCTCCTCATAACTCATGTGTTCCAGACCCCTAATCATTTTTGTTGCCCTTCGCTGGACTCTCTCCAATTTATCCACATCCTTCTTGAAGTGTGGAGCCCAAAACTGGACACAGTACTCCAGATGAGGCCTCACCAATGTCGAATAGAGGGGAACGATCACGTCCCTCGATCTGCTCGCTATGCCCCTACTTATACATCCCAAAATGCCATTGGCCTTCTTGGCAACAAGGGCACACTGCTGACTTGAGTGTGACTCAAGGGCACACTGCTGACTCAAGTAGTAACGTCCATTGGTCCGTGTACGTGCCCTTGGCCTCCATCATGGTTTTGTCTGAGGTGATAAAGGGTGGATGGACTGACGGCATCTCCAGTTCCATCTCCACCATGAAACCAAGAGATCCGCAACAAAGGGGAAGGAATACGGGAAGTGGAATACAGGTAGAAAACACACCTTGAAGTGTCTCCAGTTACAGTATCCTCCTCCTCTTCTTCAAGTCATGGTCCCTATAGTATTCCACTGTGGGTAATTTACAAGCAGTACCTGAGTCAGAGTGGGGTTTGAGGATGAGGATAGAAGGGTTGAGCGGAGGACAGCTACACTGAATGAGGCATCTGTTGCAGAGTCCTGCACTAATGCATAATGCACAGCAAATGTATGTAGTGAATTCCACGTGGCCACTCTCCACGATGTGCCGCTTCGGGACATATGTAGGGAGGCCATGGTCGAAGCATGGGCTCTTGTGGAATGGGCCCTCACCCGAGGAGTGGAGGCATTCCCAACAACTGGTAGCACAGTGTAATGCACCCCGAAATCCACTTGGAGATTTGCTGTATGGAGATCGCCTGCCCCTTAACCTTTTCAGCTACTGTGATAAACAAACAATCTAGGAGATTTCCTGATTGGTCTTATCCTCTGCATGTAGAAGCAAGGCCCAGTGGACATCGAGGGAGTGAAGTCGTTGTTCCGTAGATTAAGTTGTCATGGGATAAGAGGGAAGATCCTTTCATGGATTGAGAACTGGTTAAGAGACAGGGAACAAAGGGTAGGAATAAATGGTAAATTTTCAGAATGGAGAGGGGTAACTAGTGGTGTTTCCCAAGGGTCAGTCCTAAAACCAATCCTATTCAACTTATTCATAAATGATCTGGAGAAAGGGGTAAACAGTGAGGTGGCAAAGTTTGCAGATGATACTAAACTGCTCAAGATAGTCAAGACCAAAGCAGACTGAAGAATTTAAAAAAAAAACTCACAAAACTAAGTGATTGGGCAACAAAATGGCAAATGAAATTTAATGTGGATAAATGTAAAGTAATGCACATTGGAAAAAATAACCCCAACTATATATACAATATGATGGGGGTTAATTTAGCTACAACTAATCAGGAGAAAGATCTTGTAGTCATCGTGGATAGTTCTCTGAAGATGTCCACGCAGCGTGCAGCGGCACTCAAAAAAGCAAATGGGATGTTAGGAATCATTAAAAAAGGGATAGAGAATAAGACAGAGAATATCTTATTGCCCTTATATAAATCCACAGTACACCCACATCTTGAATACTGTGTACAGATGTAGTCCTCTCATCTCAAAAAAGATATACTGGCATTAGAAAAGGTTCAGAAAAGGGCAACTAAAATGATTAGGGATTTGGAACGGGTCCCATATGAGGAGAGATTAAAGAGGCTTGGAGTTTTCAGCTTTTTGTCTAGGTTCGTCTGTATCTTATCCTTACCCTCCAGCGTATCTACCTCTCCTCCCAGTTTAGCGTCATCTGCAAACTTGCTGAGGGTGCAATCCACGCCATCCTCCAGATCATTAATGAAGATATTAAACAAAACCGGCTCCACGACCGACCCTTGGGGCACTCCGCTAGATACCGGCTGCCAACTAGACATGGAGCCATTGATCACGACCTGTTGAGCCCGACAATCTAGCCAGCTTTCTATCCACCTTATCGTCCATTCATCTAGCCCATACTTCTTTAACTTACTGGCAAGAATACTGTGGGAGACAGTGTCAAAAGCTTTGCTAAAGTCAAGAAACAACACGTCCACTGCTTTCCCTCATCCACAGAGCCAGTTATCTCATCATAGAAGGCAATTAGATTAGTCAAGCATGACTTGCCCTTGGTGAATCCATGCTGACTGTTCCTGATCACTTTCCTCTCCTCTAAGTGCTTCATAATTGATTCCTTGAGGACCTGCTCCATGATTTTTCCAGGGACTGAGGTGAGGCTGACTGGCCTGTAGTTTCCAGGATCCCCCTCCTTCCCTTTTTTAAAGATGGGCACTCCATTAGCCTTTCCAGTCATCCGGGACCTCCCCCGATCATCATGAGTTTTCAAAGATAATGGCCAATGGCTCTGCAATCACATCCACCAACTCCTTTAGCATTCTTGGATGCAGTGCATCCGGCCCCATGGACTTGTGCTCGTCCAGCTTTTCTAAATAGTCCCGAACCACTTCTTTCTCCACAGAGGGCTGGTCACCTCCTCCCCATGCTGTGCTGCCCAGTGCAACAGTCTGGGAGCTGACCTTGTTCATGAAGACAGAGGCAAAAAAAGCATTGAGTACTATTAGCTTTTTCCACATCCTCTGTCACTAGGTTGCCTCCCTCATTCAGTAAGGGGCCCACACTTTCCTTGCTTTTTTCTTGTTGCTAACATACCTGAAGAAACCCTTCTTGTTACTCTTAACATCTCTTGCTAGCTGCAACTCCAGGTGTGATTTGGCCTTCCTGATTTCTCTCCTGCATGCCCGAGCAATATTTTTATACTCTTCCCTGGTCATTTTTCCAATCTTCCACTTCTTCTAAGGTTCTTTTTTGTGTTTAAGATCAGCAAGGATTTCATTATTAAGCCAAGCTGGTTGCCTGTTATATTTACTATTCTTTCTACACATTGGGATGGTTTGTCGCTGTAACCTCAATAAGGATTCTTTAAAATACAGCCAGCTCTCCTGGACTCCTTTCCCCCTCATGTTATTCTCCCAGGGGATCCTGCCAATCAGTTCCCTGAGGTTGTCACAATCTGCTTTTCTGAAGTCCAGGGTCCGTATTCTGCTGCTCTCCTTTCTTCCCTGTGTCAGGATCCTGAACTTGACCATCTCATGGTCACTGCCTCCTAGGTTCCCATCCACTTTTGCTTCCCCTACTAATTCTTCCCGGTTTGTGAGCAGCAGGTCAAGAAGAGCTCTGCCCGTAGTTGGTTTCTCCAGCACTTGCACCAGGAAATTGTCCCCTACACTTCCCAAAAATGTCCTGGATTGTCTGTGCACCGCTGTATTGCTCTCCCTACATATATCAGGGTGATTGAATTCTCCCATGAGAACCAGGGCCTGCGATCTAGTAACTTCCGTTACTTGCCAGAAGAAAGCCTCGTCCACCTCATCCCCCTGATCCGGTGGTCTATAGCAGACTCCCACCACGACCTCACCCTTGTTGCTCACGTTTCTAAACTTAATCCAGAGACACTCAGGTTTTTCTGCAGTTTCATACTTGAGCTCTGAGCAGTCATACTGCTCCCTTACATACAATGCAACTCCCCCACCTTTTCTGCCCTGCCTGTCCTTCCTGAACAGCTTATATCCACCCATGACAGTACTCCAGTCATGTGAGTTATCCCACCAAGTCTCTGTTATTCCAATCACATCATAATTCCTTGACTGTGCCAGGACTTCCAGTTCTCCCTGCTTGTTTCCAAGGCTTCTTGCATTTGTGTATAGACACTTGAGATAACTTGCTGTTTGTCCTGCTTTCTTAGTATGAGGCAGGAGCCCTCCCCTTTCACGTTCTCCTGCTCGTGCTTCCTCCCGGTATCCCACGTCCCCACTTACCTCAGGGCTTTGGTCTCCTTCCCCCGGTGAACCTAGTTTAAAGCCCTCCTCACTAGGTTAGCCAGCCTGCTTCCGAAGATGCTCTTCCCTCTCTTCGTAAGGCGGAGCCCGTCTCTGCCTAGCACTCCTCCTTCTTGGAACACCATCCCATGGTCAAAGAATCCAAAGCCTTCTCTCCGACACCACCTGCGTAGTCATTCGTTGACTTCCGCAATTCGAAGGTCTCTACCCCGGCCTTTTCCTTCCATGGGAAGGATGGACGAAAACACCACTTGTGCCTCAAACTCCTTTATCCTTCTTCCCAGAGCAAAACAGTCTGCAGTGATCCGCTCAAGGTCATTCTTGGCAGTATCGTTGGTGCCCACGTGGAGAAGCAGGGAGGGGTAGCCATCCGAGGGCTTGATGCGTCTCAGCAGTCTCTCTGTCACATCATGTATCCTAGCTCCTGGCAAGCAGCAGACTTCTCTGTTTTCCCAGTCAGGGCGGCAAATAGATGACTCAGTCCCCCTGAGGAGAGAGTGCCGGACCACCACCACCCGCCTCCTTCTCCTCTTGGGAGCGGTGGTTGTGGAACCCCCATCCCTAGGACTGTGCATCTCATGCCTTCCAATCAGCAGAGTCTCCTTCTGTTCCCTTCCCTCAGATGTATCATCTAGTCCACTCTCCGCATTAGTACCTGTGGAGAGAACATGAAAATGGTTGCTTACCTGTATCTGCTGTTGGTACATGGATGCTCCCCTTTCTTCCTCTTCACCGTCCTCCTGTCTCCACTGCGCAGCCTGCTCTGAATCTTCAGAACGTTGTGCCCGTAGAAGCATATCCTGACATCTGTCCAGGAAATCTTCAGTTTCTCTTATGCAACGCTGGGTCGATACTCGTTTCCCCTGACCTTGAACCTTCTCTTCCAATATGGGGACCAGCTTGCACTTTGTACAGACAAAGTCGCTTCTGTCCTGTGGGAGAAAGACAAACATGGCACATCCAGTGCAGGTCACAACAGCTGAACGCTCCCCATCCATATTACCTTCCTTCTATGAGCTTCCTCAGGAGTTGTAGTAACTACTCAGAGAAACCGGCAAGATGAAAGCCTCAGTGGGCTCTCCCCAGGTGAACTCCCAGGCAAACTCCCTCTGTTAGCCTCTCTGCTGTTCACTGCTGACTGGCTTTTTATAACAGTCAGGCTCACTCAAGGCTCACCTGGAACAAAGCACTCCCAATTCACACTTTTCAAACAAACAAACAATCAAGCACACGGACAAACTGTCACCACAACAGACACTCGGATACTCACCAACACAGCCTCCCTAATGAATCCCTTAGCGTACCTCCTCTCAGACAGATCCCAGGCAAACTCCCTCTGTTAGCCTCTCTGCTGTTCGCCGCTCAGCTGGTTCGCACCTGACTGGCTTTTTATAACAGTAAGGCCCACAAGATCCTATGAGCAGTGGTGAGTCCAAATAGCTGGACCCTGTACTGAAAGTGCTGAGGCCCGACCGTAAACCTCAGGAACAGTCTGTGGGCCTGATGGATGTCTATGTGAAAATAGGTTTCAGAGTAGCAGCCGTGTTAGTCTGTATTCGCAAAAAGAAAAGGAGTACTTGTTAGTCTCTAAGGTGCCACAAGTACTCCTTTTCTTTTTACGTGAAAATAAGCATCCTGCATATTGAGAGGCATAAACCACGTGCCTTCTTCTAACAACGGGATGATGGCTGCTAAAGTGACCATACAAAACTTGAGTTTGTGATGAAGCGATTGAGATGATGAAAATCCAGGATAGGTCTCCACCCACCGTTCTTTCTGGGTATCAGGAAGTAAGTTGAATAGTACCCCATCCCTTAATAGTCCAGATGAACCCACTCTATCGCTCCTCTTTGTAATAAGTAGTCCATCTCCAGGGTGAGCATGCTGTAGTGAGAGTGGTCCCTAAGGAGGGATCGGGGAGGGGGTTGTGGATGAGGTAGTGATGAATTTGATTGTATAGCCATGGTGGATTACACTTAGCAACAACTTGTCCATTGTTATTTCACGCTAAGCTGGGAAAAACAGTGCTAGATGTCCCCCAAAGGAGGTGGGTGGTTGTACGGCAGCAGGCAAGGTGGCTGACGGCTCTCTAGCGTTCTTCAGAAATACCTCTTCCGTGGAGGTTGCATCTGGGAGGAGGAATACTGCAAGGGTGATCCTGGAGGACAAGATCTTTGAGTCTTTTTATGCTTCCTGTGTGGTTTGTAAGGCCGCTGATGGAAAAATTGGGAGGTTCTGTAATGCTGTGTGGGCTGTGGGCAGTAAAACTTATGTTTTGGTGCTGGTGTGTAAATACTCAAGGAACAGAGTGTAGCTCTCAAATCCTTGAGGGTGTGGAAGGAATCGTCTATTTTCTGGTTGAAAAGATGGGATTCATCGAAAGGGAGGTTTTCGATGGTATTTTGTATCTCCTTGGGAAAACTAGAGGAATGGAACCACGACTCCCTCCTCGTGACGATGCCCATGGCCGTTGAGCACAGTGAGGTACCTGCCTCAGCTACCTGATTGGAGCAAGGTCCTCACTACAAGCTTCCACTCCTTAATCGTTGCTTGGAAGCAGGCCTGGTCCTGGTGTGGCCATTTCTTGACAAAGTTATCCAATTTGCTGTAATTCCAGAAATTGTATTTGGCAAGAAAAGCCTGATAACTCGAATTCCTGACTTGAAGGCTGGATGGAGAGAAGACTTTGTGGCCTAAAAGGTCCAGTTGTTTGCCCTCCCTGTGGGATGGGGTGGAGCGTGGATGCTGTTGCCTAATCTGTTCTGACACTGCCTGGACCACAAGTGAATTGGGAGGTGGGTGTGGGAGCAGAAACTCAGACCCCTTGGCTGGTACATATCTTTTTTTCTGCCCCCTTTGGGGTAAGTATGTGGCCTGTGTATGCCAAACTGTGCAAGCTGGTTTAAGGATGAGATATTTTATTGGCAGAGCACCTCTGCTTGGCCCCAATGAGTGAAGTATATCTAGCAGCTTATGCTGAGGACCTTGGATCTCTTCCAAGGGAATGTGAAGCTCTCCAGTCACTTTACGCAGGAGATACTGGAATTGGCCATAGTCATCAGGAGATCGGGGGTGGGGGTGAGGAGAAAGAGGATGTCAAAACCACTGCCACACCAGGAGAGAACAACCGGAATTTCTCCTGCTCTGGCGGCACCTTTGGAGCCAGAGTGAGCAGCTCATTTTCCATTACCAGTTCAGCCATCTACTTGAAGGCGCCCAAGACAGTGAAATAGGTGAAGCCTCCCTGATGGAATGGAATGGTTCTGAGGGAAGGTATGGGGGCCAGCAGGACTGAACTGGAAGGTGCTGAGGAAGGCTCCACAGCACAGGAAACCAGTGGCTCTGCAGCAGTTGGAGTGGAAGATACTGCCACGATGTAGACTGTCTCCGTTGGTACTTGTAATGCAGGAATGGATGGACAGTCCCTGACCCTCATCTGAGTCCTCCGAGGACAAAAACTCAAGAGACCAGTTCCATTGGCAGTACCATTGGACCCAGCAGAAGCATGTACACCGCCGGGGGGTGGGACGTGAGGAGTGCCTCAGATGTGGCATGTCTGGTGCTGGAGATAATGTCTCCCCGGAAGTAGAGGGAGGGCCTCAGAAGTCATGGGGACCATGGCTCTACCAAGGCAAAACACTTCCCAGGGATCTGGCGCTTTTCCCAACCTCCACGGATTCAAGGACACTGAGTCCCTGGAACTGGAAGGGGAGCAATGGTCTTTCCCAGAGCAGATGGCTCTCTGACTCTGATGGATGCTGATGTTGACTTTGTGCGAGTCTGCATTTGGTACTGGCAGATCCGTCAATTTATGCAGCTTCTCTTCATGTTTGTGTGCTTTAGGGTATGCTCCCGTCCCTATGTCTGGAACTCGGGGAAGGAGCCTCTCCCTTCTTCAGCTTCGAGGAAGACTTACTGCCATGCTTACGTGCATGCTTCCTTACCTCCGGACTAGGTCTTGGTACAGGGTCCACAGTGGTGGTACTGCCAGCGTCAGCCTCAGACTCTGTAATTGGAGGCGCACTTCTGGAAGCCTCTGGCTGGTGTACAGGTCCAAAATGAGGTCTTATGGCAACTTCCATGAGGTGCTTATGGAGGCGGAGAGCCAAACCTTCTCGGGTAACAGCTTGGGAAGACTAGCAGATACTGCACCTGGATGAAATGTGGGCTTCTCCCAAGCTGTAGAGGCAATGATGATGTTTGTTGCTGATCAAGAAGGAACACAGGCAGAAGACATGGATTTTAAAGCCTGGGGTTTTCAGCATAGTCCAGTACCTGCACATGCTTATGGGGCTGGGTGTTCACAGGGAACAAAAAACTCCCCAAAAAGGAAACCCAATCCTACTCCTCAAAACTATCAAATTACTAAAAACTACTATAAAAACAGTAAAAACTGTAAAACTAACCATGTACAACTGTATATTTTTAAGTGCGTTGAGTGCAAGAGGACCCTAGAGTTCTGACACGGACCATGAGGCAGTGAGAACAAACTGGAGACTCGGTCGGTCCGCTTTGCCCCGTATCACTTCGGACGAAACTATGAGGCAAGCCAAGGGTGCATGTGTGGATCAATGGACACTATTACTTGAAAAATCTCTGGCTCCAGACGTACAGTGCACGTGCGTAAACCCTCAGTGGAATACAATAGGGACTATCACTCGAAGAAGAGCCATCTGGCTTTTCTGATGTGTCTTGATTTGTCTCCTTGAGGAGGGCAATCTAGCCTTAAAGACAGTAGACAAAGCAGGCTTTCTGGAGTATAGCTGTACACTCCAGGGGGTCTAGAAAGTTCTCCTACCTTTACTAGCTTATGGTGGTGGGCACATGGGGTTTCCAGGTAGGTTGATCCCTAGGAAGCCCAGACTTCTCTCTCTCTTGTGGACTCCTCCCTAGAATTTCTCTAACACCCAGTGACCTCTCCAGGGAGAGGATGGTGAGTGCAAGGGACTAATAGTTAAGAACAAGGAAATGTATGGATCCTGCAGTGTGCCACTTGTAGAAGTTAACATTTTTCTTCTTTGAAGGGGGATAGTAGTGTTTACTCCTGAAGCCCCTTCTGGAAATCAGTGTTACTCTCAGAAACCCACAGGGTGGAAAAGGCTATTTTCCATCCCCCTGTGGATGGTCACTTTTATCAGTACAATTATCAAACAACACATGGACGAGAGAAGCAGCAGTTTTATAAACTCATGAGTAGAGAGAATCTGTAAGAAGAGAATTTTACTGCATCTTTCACAAATATAGGACCTGCCTTACTCCAACAGACCATCTAGTGTGTGTGTTATCTTGCCTTGGATACTGGCCAATACCACATTCTTCCAAAAAAGACATAACTCTCCTGACGATGCATCTAACCATCTACATTATATTATGGGTGAGTTTCTTCCTGACCCCAGCTGGTGATTAGCTTTATCTTTAAGAGGCAGAGCAGTATAAAAGTCCATGTACATGAATAGGATCTAGTGAATAGTCCCTTCTTGTAAAAGGGTGGAACAAACTACAGCATAATTCTGCAGTGACATCTGCAGACTCCCAATGACTGTACTGGAATACTGCAAGGGTACAGGGTCCTCTAGCATGGGAGTTATTTCAGGATCGAGGTTTAGAGTTTAGTTCTTTTAGATCAGGCTACTGGTAGCTATGATAAAAAGAAGTATGTAAATCGAGCAAGCAGCAACTAAGCAAGAGCTGGCTCCAAAATGTTTTTAAAGCAATATACAATTATATGAATTTTGAAAAAATAAAATCAAAGCCTATTAAAAGAGACCAACTAAAACTATTTTTATGTCATTTTATTAAAAATTTTATAAGGTCTAAAATCAAAATGTACATTACTATAGGGTAATCTGTCTGCCCACTCATGTTAAAGTGCTAAAAATCAAATATTACAAAACTGATACTGGCCTACTGTAAACAAGTCTACCAAGAGCCA